AAATAAATCCACCTTTAAGGGAAGAAAGTATGAGATGAAATTTTTGGAACGAAGTTCTTCTACGCGGCTTGCAGTAGAGTGAACTGACAGAAAGCCTCACGTAAAGAAAAAGCTTTAAGGGGTCCCCCGACCGCACAATATTTATTTTTTATACTAGCTGTTCCCCGCAACTTCGCCCGCGTGTTATTTGGCGTTTTAATTTTTCTGCGCGGAACCCTAATTATTTTTCTAAAATAAAAGTCTAGGTTACTCCTTGTGACATCAGTTATCTGCCAGTTAAAATCTCGTCAAAATGGGTCCAGCCGTTATTAGCCGGAGATTAGCCGGAACAAACAGATAGACAGGCGTACAGGCAGACAGACAGACAAAAACTTTATAAATTGTATTTTTGTTATTAGTACCGTATATACTTTCATATGCATTTAGTAAAAAGCTGTAATTTTGACATTACAAACAGACACTTCAATTTATTTATTTGTATACATGTAAAGATTTAAGAAAAACTCAAGAGTACCTCGTTTAAAGTCGGGACAGCATCAAAGCCAACTCAAGTCTCTGAGAGATGACTACATATCTGTGCCATTTGCTGTAGAGACTATTGTTCTGTTAGGCCCAAGTGCGGTGAAGTTCCTAAAGTAACTATTCGCACTGATCGTCGCTGTTGGTGATAAAAAAGGCTGGTTCTTTTCTCGCTTAAAAGCTAAGTGTAGCCATTCAGCTAGGAAACGCAGGGAGCGTTTTTGGTACTATAACGCGGAAAGTAGGACTATATGATAATTTAAGTTTTGACTTTTAGTTTTCTACCGACTTCAACAAGGAGACGGTACTCAATTCGATGGTATGTTTTTTTATGTGTGTCACCTCATAACTTTTTACTGGTTGTACCGATTTCGACGATTCTTTTTTTATTTAAAAGCTAGTGCTTCACATGTGGTCCCATATAAGTTTGATCAAGTTGTGACCAATAGTTTTTGAGTTATTCTTAATAATTTATATTGAAGTTGGTTGTACAAAATTTTTAATTTTAAATTATATTTAATAATATTGTATATACACGAAAGAAAAACTAGTGTTTCGCAGTCCGTTTCCTAAACCGTGATGGTTGGTGTAATGGGGTCAAATAATCTTCCACTCACCAGATGTCGCTAGTTGTGACTGAGGTAAAGTTTTTGTTTCACAGTGCCAGTTAATTGAGAAATTAGTTTTAAATAATAGTTTATCAGTTTCAAGTGTATTATATTATTTATTACACAAAAGCCTTAGTGGTTTGATCTTTAATATTTTGCAATTTTTATTTTTATTCTTTTTTTTTTTAATTTTACTACTTTAGATAAATATCCATAGTTTGGTTTATTAATTTATAATTTAATTATTAAATATAACTCATGATACAGAATATATTAACCCATACATTTTCCTAAGTAATTATCTTCCGCGCATGAAATCTTCAAATATTTCTCATTGTAAAGTGGCACCGCTCTGTTGGCAGAAGAAGTCGTGGATGCCCCCATTGACTGAACACATTACGTTTTGAGGATGAAGAAATTGTTTTTATTAATACAATCACAATGGACACGTCTCGCCGTGCACCACGTGACTGTAACTGTAACAATTGAGTGGCGATTTTAAACCGGTTCGTAGCGAAGGTCGATAATCGTATGCAGTGACGTTATATAACTTAACGTAATTAGTTCTTTTTAAAGGGTACCTCTACACTAGGATTTTCTCCTGTATTGTGGAGGGTTACACACACATCACACATACATAAAACATAAATAATGCATGGAGAATATCCAGACTTGGAACTTTTAACGCGGTAGAGCCAATATGTTACGGTCACGGTATACGGTTACGTACGTAAGGTATACATACGAAAGACAGCAGTATTGCTGCTGTCTTTTGATATCGTCCTCGTATGGTGAGTGTAGAAAACCGAAGACCCTTTTCACTAGTAACAAGGCATTCTATATGGCTTATATCAGGGGTGCCAACGGATCTACATTTTGATTCTTAATCGATGATAGATGTTGGTGTGTATGAGCCTCAGTATTCACTTACCATCAGGTGGACTCTTTGCTCGCATGTCAACATAATATTATTTTAAAAAAATAGGTCACACAAACACCTGTTCGTTCTGTGCGGGATTCGAACTCACGGCCCTACAGCGCCGAACCAAACGCACAGCCACTGTGCAACCGGGTCGTAAATATTGTGTACTAGCTTAGGAGCATGGCATTCTCTGTATATATGATAGCAAGCGTATTCGATTAGCGCTAAAATGGTTATTGCCGTTTTAATTACGGATTTACTACAAATGAAGTGAGCGTGGGAAACGAACTTTAGTGGCTTATAGGACTTGACAACTCAGTGACTTAGCATTTGGCTGCTACGTGTTCGCGGGTTCGAATCCCGCACAGAACTTATGTGTATCATTGACGAATAATTATTTTAGTACTTATTCAGTAAAAACTTTGCAGTATGAAAGTAAAATTGCTTATTAATTCACTAATTCACAAAAAAAAAACGTGGTAGAGCCATGCTGCAGCCATATTAATAGTATAGTTGTAGCACGAATCGGTCGGGTCGACTGGGGAAGGAACACGCTCTCACAAAATACCAGCGTAAAATGGCAGCTTGACACTGCTGTGTTTCGTAAAGTGAGTGTAGAGAACCGGACACCCATTTTACTGGAAAAGAGGCATTCCATCTTAGTCCTCACGGGTGACGACGTATCTGCATTTTGATTTTTATTGAGGGTCTATGGATCACAGCAACCACTTACCATTAGGTGGACTGTGTGCTTGTTTGTTACCCTATCCTATAAAAACAAAATAACAAATTTGATAGAGTAAAGATTACTTCCGTAGCATTTTTAATAGACATATAATTTCTGAATCCGTTTGGATGACTTTAGTAACAGCCACCTCAAAATCTTCCTAAGTGACATAGACTCTACGCTCACGTAAATTATACATGTCAGCCTCTATACACACACCTTTCACCTCTGCAGAAGAAGTTCCAGCAATTAGCTCAGCAGTCTTACGCAGATTTATATCTCTTTAAAATTTCATCATACTTGAACGAATTTTGACGATATCCAAACGAGCTTCCTCGTTTGGTGAAAAGAAACTCAGTTTTCCTGTCAATACGCCCTGATCTAAGCAAAGCCGAATTAAGCATATCGATAATATTGATTGCCATTATAACTTTAATGTTCTAAGTAGCTTCATTTATTTATTTTTCTTACTTGTTACCACGGACTTTGTACCACGCTCTCACAGAATACCAGCGTAAAATAGCAACTTAAAGCTGCTGTGTTTCGTATGGTGAGTGTAGAGAACCGGAGACCCTTTTTACTGGAAACGAAGCATTCCATCTTAGCCCTCACGGGTGATAACGCATCTGCATTTTAATTCGCAAACGTGGATAGATGTAGATGTCTATGGGCCACAGGAGCCACTTATCATCAGGTGGATGGTGTGCTTGTTTGTCACCCTTAAACTATAAAAATACTTGCACTAGTTATTGTACTAATTATTCTTAAAATAGCCAGGAGTCTAAGGCCGACCAAATACATTGGGAATTCTGTATCGGGATTCCGATTCGAAATATGATTAGAAATTCCGAACGCAGCAAATCCATATAAAATCAAGGACCTATCACACACGTACAGTAGGTTTTCGTTCGAAATTTTGCGGGGAAAAACGGGATTCCGAATGTATGTGGCCGGCCTTAATATTTACTGTGTGTGACTATGTATGTAAAACGTCTTCTATATACTCGCTTTTTTTAAGTTACAAATATATTACCAAATAATTCTGTTATATAGACATTGGATTCTACATAGACAACAGTAAACTATACGTGAAAACTGTAATAGCGAAGGCAGCGGTTATCCTAGATTTGAACGCACTATCGCCTCGTATCAGACGTTAGAACTTACTACGTAATACGTATCTCATATCTGACGCGTTATGACTTTCGATGATTAAACTCTTATCTAAGGCTTTGTTATTTTGATTGATTGTTTGTAACCTGAAGTGGAAGGATTATTAGAAAGATTTGTACAAACTGTTCTCTATATATACTCTACGGAACAAACACATATTAACGTGCAGAAGAGTTTAAGATTTTTCATAGATATAAGGGTGACAAACGAGCGCACAGTTTACCTGATGGTAAGTGGATGCTGTGGCCCATAAACACCTACATCTATCCCCGATTAAGAATCAAAATTCTAATGCAACGCCTCTGGTATCTAATATTGAATGCCTTGATAGAAGTAAAACAGGTCTTCAGCTCCAGTCACTAAACATCGAAAAAGCAGTATTATGCTGCTATTTCCGCAAGTAGTGTAGGATAATTATTTCTATATTAATTATCTATTTTAGTTCGTGATATTTTTTTAGTTTTATAGAATAAGGTTGATAAACGAGCACTCAGTACACCTGATGGTAAGAGGATGCTGTGACCCATAGACATCTACATTTATCCTCAATTAAGCATCAAAATATAAATGTGTTGTCACCCGTGAGGACTAAGATAGAATGCCTCGTTTCCAGTAAAAAGGGTCTCCGGTTCTCTACACTCACCACACGAAATACAATAGTATCAAGCTGCTATTTTACGCTGGTATTCTGTGAGAGCGTGGTCCTTCCCTGGTCGAGCCGACCCATTCGTGCTAGAACCATAATATAGCTGCAGCGTGGCTCTACCACGCTTAGCTAGAGATAGTATTCCGCTAGTGTTCGGCGTAGTGGAATTATTTCTATATTAATTATTATCTATTTTAGTCCGTTGAAGCGACAACGCAACGTTCTTTCTTTATTTTTATTCTTTATTTAATTTATTTTAATATTCGTGGGTTGCAGCAGCCACTTACCATTAGGTGGACCTCTAAGTTCATTCGTCACTTCCATTCTATATTAAAAAAAAATCTTATTTGATATCTTTGTTTCATAATTCTCTGTAACTAACTGGCAACCGTTTGCTTGTTCCAGTCCCCCCACATTCAAAACCCTAACGCCGACCTCACGTACCCAGCTGAAGCAACAGTTGATGCGAGAGCATGCCCAGGAGCAACTACGCAGAGAATCATTACAGGTGAGTGGCTTTAATTTATATTTTAATAAGAGTTAAATTTGCGTGACGGTGTGCTTTATGCCCGATACAATACGGAAAGGTTCCGGTGCAATAAATTGTTAAGTAGTAACACTAATTAGACCATTATTAGAATAAAACCTTAATCTAATAGTCTAACTAGTGTAACTGCTTTAGTAAGCTTAGTGTATTCAGAATCAGATTTTTTTTAGTGTAAAGGTAAGGAGTATGTTAGGGATGAAGCTGAATGACAGAGTGAGAAATTGTTTAATAAGAGAAGAGTGTGGTTTGCAAGATGATGTTGTGAACAAGATTAAGAAAGGAATGCTTCGGTGGTTTGGCCATGTAGAAAGAATGAATGAGGAAAGAGTGACAAAGCAAATTTATGTTGCAGAGGTGAACGGCATAGTCGGGAAGGGTCGCCCTAGGCGAAAGTTTATCGACCAAATTGGCGATATATTAAAAATGGGCCAAATCAAGAGTACCTTTAACCGACGAGCGTGTATGCGTAGTATATGGATGTGGAGGAAGCGAGAGAGGTGTGTCAGGATCGTGCCAAATGGAAGTCCATAATCTCTGCCTACCCCTCTGGGTGACAGGCGTGAGTGTTTATGTTATATATGTTTTATGTAAAGGTAACAAACAAGCGCACAGTCCGCCTAGCTGATGCTGTGGCCCAAAGACATCATTTATCATCGATTAAATTAAAAATTAATATTCAATCATATAATAATTGTATTATTATATTCACGCAACTGTCTTATTTAATTTGTTTACGTTTAAGTTTATTGTATTGATAACTTTTACCCTTTTGTAAAATCACCCCTTAGTTAAATTTTTTACAGATAGAATATTGCAACTGTTCAATTTAGGCTTGTTTAAAACTCGTATGAACATAAGAGTCTACATCGTTTCGTAAAAGCTATACCTTAGAAACGAACCGGCTAGAAAGTCTCGTATTTTTTATTTATTTTAACAGTGGTAGAGCCACGCGGCAGCTTTTGCTGTCGCACGGATGGGCCGGCTCGAACCGGGGTGGTACCACGACCTCACAGAAAACCAGCGTGAAGTAGAGGTTTACCTCTGCGTTTCGCTTGGTGAGTGCAGGTGGCCGGAGGCCCTTTTTACTGGAAATGAGGCATACCATCTTAGTCCTCACGGGTGACAACGCATCTACATTTTGATTTGTAATAGAGGATAGATGTAGATGTCTATGGGCCGCAGCAACCACTTACCATCAGTTGGACTGTGTGCTCGTTTGTCACCCTTATCCTATAAAATAATAATAATACTGTTACAAATTCATTTATTATAACTTACAGGAAAATCAACACAATTACAAATGTCTATTAATATTTTTGGAACGAAGTTCTTTATCTGACGGTACAAATTTGGCGGATGGGGGCTAGGCGAGAAAAAGTGTAAGATTTTTCTGTCACGACCCCTTCTGACGTAGTGTAGGCGGCTTTGACGGCTATAAGTAAGCGAGATGGAATAATATCCATCTCCCTCGCACCTTTTCTTATCTTGCCATGAAAGAAATATTATTTTATTTTAAATGACGCTTCATTTTAATAGAGGTTAATACATAATTAGTTTATTTGTATTTGTTAATCAATAATATAATACCTTTATCAATAATAATAGACTACAAAAGGAACTTCGTTCCAACCGAGTGTTGCACGACACTCAAGTTTTTTTAAATGTTTTAACAATATCAGCAGGCAAAGGACTTCTGACCTTCAACCAAGAGCAATCTGGGAGTTATTACCACTTATAATTTGAACGTCTCGTTGGTCTAATAGTCGTAAACGCGGTTACTGATCATGAGGTCCTGGTTTCGAATCCTGGGTCAGGCAAAAATTAAAAAAGTTATCGGGCTTTTCTGACAAGAAATTCTCAGTAGCTGCCCGGAGTCAGGAAGTTGGCGGTGTCTCACCGTAAAGCAGTTGTTACTGCGCCTGATCTCTCTCCGGTCGTGTCGACCGTCTCACCGTCTCATCGGACTATGAGAGAGAGGGAATAGAGAATGCACTTGTGCGCTTGAGCATATACACACCAGCACTGTATTCCTGTCCTGCGCAGATAGTTAGCCTCCTTTGAGGCTGGACGCCGTGACCGAAACTCTGTCAAGAAAACATTACATTTCCTGAATCTATTTTTTAGTAAAAAATTTCACTAACAAGTTTTTGGTATGGCAATTTTATCATGTGAAAGGTATTTATGACTTAAGGTGCAAGACGTCTCGATCTATGATCGCATTGTCTTACACTGTTGTATTAATTATTTAGTTTTTTTTTTAATATGAAATATAAAAAATGCTTTTATTTCTTATAGGCACAACAGGGGCAGTCGAAGGAGAATGCCGAAGACAAGAAGAAGTCGAGTCCGACGGACGTACCACGTATTACCCCACACGTCGAGTTACCGCCGCAAGTGTTGCAGGTCAGAGTTAGAGCTTTTATATAACAGTACTAGCTGTTCCCGCGACTTCGTCCGCGTGTTATTTGGGGTTTTAATTTTTTTGCGTGGAACCCTAATTCTTTTTCTAAAATAAAAGTAGCCTAAGTTACTAATTGTGACATCAGCTGTGAAAATCCCGTCAAAATCGGTCCAGTCGTTTCGGAGATTAGCCGGAACAAACAGACAGACAGACGGACAGACAGACAGACAGACAGACAAAAACTTTAAAAATTGTATTTTTGTTATTAGTACCGTATATACTTTCATATGTATTTAGTAAAAAGCTGTAATTTTGACATTACAAACGGACACTTCAATTTTATTTATTTGATCATTTCTTATATTTACGCGAACACCACACATTGAATAAAACTATTTTACGGATTTTATCGCGTTTAATTAACTTATTTTATATTCCCGACGTTTCGGTTGCTTTCCAGCAACCGTGGTCACGGGGGACTGAGGACTGAGGTGGTCAAGACACAGTTAGTTCATTCTGCATAGATCAGAGGTTTAACACTGACATCGGGACGTCAATCACCTTAGTCCCCCGTGACCACGGTTGCTGGAAAGCAACCGAAACGTCGGGAATATAAAATAAGTTAATTAAACGCGATAAAATCCGTAAAAATAGTTTTATTTATTTGTATAGATAACAGTAATTAGTGTAGAAATTGAGTGATGAATGTTCAGCGGAGCGGGGTGGGTCGTTCAGCGTTCATGGAGAACTCACGCTTCTGTACAAGGTACAATCAACAAGCTCAAGTGACGTATTACCAAGCCGCATCTAAGGTTTTTAACCCTTACCCTATGCTATGAATCATATATGAACGTTTCGATTGTTTGACTATTGTGCCTGTTTCCTCCATCCAATAAAACGTATTTTATAATATAAAAGCAGGCTAAGGTGCGGTTGGGATGGCTTTTAGACCACCGTATTAAACCAGTCGTAGAACACGCCGCTATGTCACTCGCTTCACCGTGAGGCTCCAGTAGAGAGCATTTCGTGGCACGTGCACGATGGTATATTGAATAGCACGATGTTCATACGTGGTAGAGGCGTGCTGCAGCTATATTAATGGTATAGTTGTAGCACGAATGGGTCGGCTCGACCGGGGAAGGACCGCGCTCTCACAGAGTACCAGCGTAAAATAGCAGCTTAACGCTACTGTGTTTCGTATGGTGAGTGTATATAACCGTGTGTAGATAACCGGAGACCCTTTTTACTGGAAAAGAGGCATTCTATCTCACGGCTGACAACGCATCTGAATTTTAATTTGTAATAGATGTAGATGTCTATGGTCCACAGCAACCACTTACCATCAGGTGGATTGTGTGCTCATTTGCACCCTTATTCTCTAAAAAAATATGTTATTCTACTATGTCTTGAGTATCGGCTGTATAGGTTGGCAACCCTGTTCGACAATACCACTAGAATTTTAAAACAATCTTTTTTTTTTTTCAATCGCCATTGAGCAAAATGATGTCGTGAATTTTGTTAAACTGGCCACTACACAACATTTTCACTGATAGTAAAATTGTAGCCTATAGCAATAATTTTATAACGCGGGAATGGGTGTAATTTTTAAAATTTGAATAATAAGTACATAGTCACACTCACCGTGTTTTAAACTTACGAGTAGAACGCGAGGTAACACGGTCGCTTAACTAATTGTTTGAAACTGAAACCCATATCATTACAAAGTTTATAACTCCGTGAACAATTATCTCTTTACAACTCTTAAAGATAAATTAAAATAACAAATACGTGTCGCTAACAATGACTTGGTTAGAATTCGATGGCGGAACGGAACGTCTTTTGTTGCGGACAATTATATGAAAAGTTAAAAATATCTTTACCCGATTGTCGCGGAGTCTAAAGGGAAGGTAATATTTTTGTCGGTGGTATATATTTATGTTGTTTGTGCCATTTATATGCCTGTCTATAAACCCTGTAGTAGTCGTAAGTTTTTTTTTATAGGATAGGGTGACAAACGAGCACACAGTCCACCTGATGGTAAGTGGTTGCTGTGGCCCATAGACATCTACATCTATCTTCGATTACCAATCAAAATGCAGATGCGTTGTCACCCATGGGGTCGAAGATGGAATGCCTCGTTTCCAATAAAAGGGTCTCGGATTATGGAAAAGTAATATCTCAATCGATTTGTCATTATTAAACGCGTACACTGACTTCTATTATAAAAGTACGCTAAACTGGCGATAGACCGTGGCATAATGAGGCGATTTGATATTCGTCATTTTGGCGCTGATAGCAGAAGTGACCGTCCACGGAACTAAAAATAGAGATAGGACATCGCGACAAAATATATCGATAAAAATTTGAATATAAAGGCCTACAAAGAATAAATGTATCAATTAATACCTACTTATGTCTTAGACACAAGATTTATACCTCATATAAAACATAAATAGACGCTACATTAGGCTATCTATTATTATATTATCCTTCAAGAAAAGAGCTTACACCTTTCTAAAAGGCCGGCAACGCATCTGCAATTCCCCTGGTTCCTGTGGTGTAGCAGTTGTTCATGGGCGGCGGTAGTCACTTACCATCAGGCGTGCCGCATGCTCGCTTGCCGTCTCTCCTATAAAAAAAAAATTATATTGGATTATAAAAATTTAACAAATAGCAATATTTTACAATTTTTATCAATAGACATTTCAATAATATGAGTTTAGTACTTTTTCAATACTTATTTTATATATTATATTTCATATAGTAGCCTATTTCTATCAGATTTGAATTGTTTTCGTAAATTAATATTGTTATCCTGTAGCCCGTCTCAAGTCCACTGAAAGTAAACTTCTCGTTGCCGTATAAATGATCTCACTCTGCTTATTCACTCACTATGAGCTTGTTTTTTTTTTGAGGATCTTTTTTCTATCCGCTGTCGGTTTTTCGAGGCTGGTTGTTTGAATAGAGTTATTCATCTGTCGGAATCTAGGTCGGTACCTAGCAGTGCATTGTGTAGTAGTCGCACTTAGTGTCCCCCATAGATTGCCTCATAGATAGAATATTTGCCATAGCTGCCACACGTGACAGGCGGGTTAGTAACTGCAGTTACTTGTTATTTTGAGTTGATAGCAGAAAGATGCTGCCGGCCGTATCTTTTTAGGGTTCCGTACCCGAAGCCAGGTAACCAGCGGGGCCCTATTACTAAGCCTTCGCTGTCCTTATTGTCCGTCGGTTCGTCCGTTCGTCCGTCCGTTCGTCCGTTCGTCCGTTCGTCCGTTCGTCCCTTCGTCCGTTCGTCCGTTCGTCCGTTCGTCCGTTCGTCCGTCCGTCCGTTCGTCCGTTCGTCCGTCCGTCCGTCCGTCTGTCTGTCTGTCAGCGGGCTGTATCTCATGATCCGTTATAGGTAGACAGTTAAAATTTTCACAAAATATGTATTTCTGTCGCCGCTATAATAACAAATAATAAAAATAAGTTAAAAATTAAAGGGGCTCCCCTACTAGAAACGTGTTTTACGATGGTACGGAACCCTTCATGCGCGAGTCCGACTCGCACGTGGCCGGTTACTTATTTTCGTCTGTCGCCTCTACGGCACCCACGGGGTGTTAAGTGCTAGTGGATGTTCTTACTTATTAAAAGTTTTCTTTGTGTACTTTTCAGGTGCGAACAGTTCTGGAGAACCCCACCAGGTATCACGTGATCCAGAAGCAGAAGAGTCAAGTGCGCCAGTACCTCAGTGAATCGTTTCAGCCTCAAGCACAGGTGAGTAGTCTTATTCTAAATGTTTTCATAATACATTGTACAACTTATTGTAAATTAATTGACTAAAGTTTATTATATGCTATTCAATTCTATTTCCACCCTTTTATTATTAGCTGGCTCTGCAACTACGTACGAGTGTATGAATGTTGAATGCGATGGAATTTTATCATTCAGTTTTCTTGTACTTCCGGACGTCTGAATAATCTCAAATTTTACAAGCGTATTTCGAACTGATGACAATACGATAATACGGTGTTTTTCACCATGTAAAAAAATAAATAAAAAATACACATTTATGATAGGTTTAGTAAAAAGTAAACGAGAAATGTTGATGAAAGAGAGCCGTACGGGCGATTTATAATCTAAATTGTAAAGAGTCCCTTAGAGAAAAATTTAAAGAAATAAACATATTAACTTTGGCATCGCAATATATTTATGAAAATGTAATGTATGTACATAAAAACATAAATAGCTTTAATAAGAATAAGGATGTTCATACCTTAAACACTAGGAACAAACATAAGCTTGTAATGCCACTTACTAGACTCCACAGAATTAGTAATTCATTTATGGGGCAATGTATACGCTTTTACAACAAAATTCCAGAACATGTTCAAAGTTTGTCAATAAACAAGTTTAAAAGTTTTATTAAAGAAAAACTGTACAAAGAGGGTTATTATAATATCAAGGAATACATGAATGAAAATAACCCCTGGGAATAAGGTGATCGCCACCATGCTGGTTCTATGAAAATTCATTTAAAATTGTAGAAACAAAATTATTGTTAAGTGAAATTATGTTAAAAAAAAAAGTTAAACATCCATAAAAAAATTAACTACACTACACACAATATTTACTTTAATGTCAACTTTTAAAATAGCGTCGATAAATTAGCGAACTTTCGACCCTTTATAATTTAATTGACTGATGAAGAGCTATATTATCACAGAACAATATCTGCAAACAAGGCTGTAGTTTTTTGATTAGCCGGATGACCATGTTACCTTCACGTACTTTATAATATTATGCTAAATAATTTTCGCAATACAGGTGTGTTAAACATGAGGACTAAACATGTTTAGCGAATAAATGATATTATTGATATTATTACAATGTACGACGCAGGTTGCAGCGAGCACTAGACCGGGCCCGGTGCAGTCAGCGCCGGAGCTGTGCGCCTCGCCGGAACGAACCTCCACTTCCAGTCTCCTCAGCCCTGGATTATGTTCCTCCACTGCACACACATCCGAAGTGAGTATGCACAATTTTTTATAATTTAGTCCGTCCATAGAAAAACAGACAGGGAAGGCTAGTGTGTTGAACCAACACCTTTATTAAGCTTATCTGTACAATATGATACAAGTTTTTGAGAACTAACCAGCTGGTATTTTAAACATAAATTATATTTTTCTTTAACGTAAGAAATTAAAGAGCTTTTACCCCTATGTAGGGATGATGGAGCCTTAATCATCAAGCTGTGGCAGACGGATTGCAAATCCAAAGTACGAAATTCCTTGCACCTTTAACACTACTAGATGTCGCTGGTCTTTGTAGTCTGGAGTAAACGAGATGGTTATAGCGCCATCTGTCGGGAACACTATCAACCAAAAGTGTAAATTATGAACCATTCTACAGTGTTTTAGTTCCACTTTGAATATAGTTTATAGAGTCTAGATATATGATTAATAATCGATTAATTGAAATGAATCAACAATGGACATCGACAACTTTTTTGCCTTTGGCGCCTTTGAAATGAAATTAAACTTTTTTTATTCATTTTCTTTTTATTTCCGCCAACAATATATTTTTCTTGTACTTCTGGACGTAAAAAACAACAATGAATATATGCTTACAATTGAAAGAATGCTATTGATGACCTGTATCTTAGATCAGCATGTCTCCACTTGTATTTCTCCGTGGACAAAGTACATAGATGAAATAACGATATACGTATATATATTTTTTATACGCGGTAGAGCCATGTTGCAGTTATATTAGTAGTATAGTTATACCACGAATAGATCGGCTCGACCGGGAAAGGACCACGCTCTCACAGAATACCAGCATAAAATAGCAGTTTAACGCTGCTGTGTTTCGTATGGTGAGTGTGAGAGAGAGAACCTGAGACCTTTTTTACTGGAAACAAGGCATTCCATCTTAGTTCTCACGGCTGACAACGCATCTGCATTTTAATTCGCAAGGGCCACAGAAATCACTTACCATCAGGTGGACTGTGTGCTTGTTTGTCACCCTTATCCCTAAAATATATTATTATCTACGACACATACGTCGGTTAAGGGTATTTTTAATTTGGTTAATAAACTTCAGTTGACGGTCGTCCTTTGCTGGCTCCATTACTCACTTCTGCGGCATAAAGCACGAAGGAAGTATTTCTTTGTTTTGTTATCCATTACAGCCTATAAAAAGTCCTATGTTGAATATAGGCCTCCCCCAGAGATTGCCTTATAGTAAGGATATTTGCCGTAGCTGGCTCGCTTGGCAAGCGGGTTGGCAACCGTAGTTGTTTTATAATGTTGGTAGTTGTTATCAGAAAGGCGCGGCTGCACACCTCCTTGTTTGTTTACTGCTGTCGCCTCTTACGACACCCGAGGTACGATATGAGGTAGTGGTATTCTTACAACGCACTGCACGCACTATTAGGCAATCTATGAGTGTTCAGCAGTGGATTTATATAGGGCGTAATGGATTGAATGGTAATGGTATGGTTGTGCGGTCGGCAGCCGGACGAGTTCCTGGAGGACATCCTGTCGCTGGACGGCGGCGCGGCGCGCTCGTCGTCGGGGCCGCCGTCCGCCGCCAGCTCGCTGGCCGGCGACTGCGCGCTCACCGACGCCGACATGCACGCGCTCGCCAAGGACCGCCAGAAGAAGGACAACCATAATATGAGTGAGTCACTCGCATTACACTCTTACGTGAATCTGTGTTTCATTGCTCTGTGTTACATATGTTTATATTTTATTGCACTCTACTGTGTTAGATGGCTCTGTGTTACATGTTTCGACATTTCACTGCGAGAGTTTTGGCGCGAACTTGACCGGCGGCGGATTGCTGCTCCTATATTATTGTTTAAATAATGGTTTGAAGTGGATCTTGATACGTAAAAGTGGTGCGATTTTGTTTATTAAGTATCTACACATGTGAACTATTCGTGGAAACGGTCAAACAAGTGCTCTGATGGTGATGTGATTCTCAAGATAAGGTGTCTGTCTGCTTAGGCGCCTTGAGATACCATCGCCAGCTGTCGGTTGACTGCTGGCTCAAGTTGCCGTCATAATCTCCCAAGGGCTGCACAATGTGACGCATCAACATATTGTGAAGTAGTTAGTGTACTATGAAGGATAATTATACATTGTAATAACTTCAGGCTCAGAAGTGCTGTAACCCAGAGCCGTAAAGCCAGTTTTTATAAAAAAACATTTCAGTGCTCTGTGTTACATGTTTCTGTATTTTACTGCTCTGTGTCACATTTAATAACGATGACAAACGAGCACACAGTCCACTTGATGGTAAGTGGCCCATAGAAATCTACATTTGTCCTCCATTACAAATTTAAATGCAGGTGCGTTGTCACCACTGAAAACTAAGATGGAATGCCTCGTATCCAATAAAAAAGTGTCCTGTTCTCTACACTCACCATACGAAATACAGCGTACATTAACCACGAATATTTATTTAGTTGATCACTTAACCTTGAAAATCGGATTTCCACAAACTCCTCTTTCATAATGATCCAAAACAATGTTTCTTCTCGCCAGTCGAGAGGCGTCGCCGCTTCAACATAAACGACCGGATCAAGGAGCTCGGAACACTGCTGCCGAAGACGAATGATCCGTTCTACGAGGTTATCCGGGACGTGAGGCCGAACAAGGGCACTATACTCAAGAGCAGCGTGGACTATATCAAGTGCCTGCGGGATGAAGTCAACCGACTCAAGCAGAGTGAACAAAGGCGGAAGCAGATCGAACTGCACAACAGGAAGCTGATGCTCAGGATACAGGTCACTTAATTTTTTTATTTTTGGAGATAGAGATGTCGAGAGTGTTATTTTTTTGATCATGATATTTCCTAGGTGGTAGAACTCTCTCTTACCTATTTCCGGCGGCAAATAGCAGTGCTTGCACTGCTGTGTTTCGATGTGAAGGATATACAGAAAGAAGAAGAAGGACAGGGAGGCATTCCATCTTAGTCCTCAGAGGTGACAACGCATCTGTAGCCTGCATTGTTTAAAATTAGCTAATTTAGGTGTCAGGTGTCCATGGACTGCGGTAGCCACTTACCATCAGGTGAACTATAAATTAGTTTGTCACTTCAAAAACCTAAGGTCGGTTTTTTTTAAATAAAAGTTTTATTTATATTCGATATAACATCACATGCTCGTTAAATAAAGAAGAGCATTTTACGTGGTAGGGCCATATTGCAGTTATATTAGTAGTATAGTTGTAGCACGAATGGGTCGGCTCGACCGGACCACGCTCTCACAGAATACCAGCGTAAAATGGCAGCTTAACACTGCTGTGTTTCGTAAGGTGAGCGTAGAGAATCGACCTTTTTACTGGAAAAGAGGTATTCCATTTTAGTTCTCATGGGTGACAATACATCTCCATTTTAATCGCAAACGAGGTTTAATGAAGATGTATATGGGCCACAGCAACCAGTTACCATCAGGTGGACTGTGTGTTCGCTTATCAAGGTAACTTTCTATAAATCTATCTCATAATTTTTTTATTAAGTAATAAGTTATGATTTGATTTGATTAAGTATGTGTTGTAGCGGTGTCGTACCATAGGAGTCGTAAGAGGTGACTATAGAAATTGTCAGAAAGATGTCATGATTTCTGACAATTTTTATAGATGACAGATGGCGGAATTCTCTCAATTGTGTCAGGCGTGACATAATACTCAAAGCAAAGACTTCTATGTACTTATATTATTATACGGGCATTACGGTATGAATACATTGCGCGTTATGTTATGGTCATAAGAAATGTAATTGCTTTAGAGGCGACAAGGTTAGTTCTTTCTTTAAAGGATTTCAAAAAGGTGGAGGTACTCTATTTGACTGTAAGTTTTTTATGTGATATAAAAATATACAGTCATCACTTACAAATTTTTTCTCGGTGAACTGATTTCGATTATTGTTTTTTTTTTTCTATTTTAAAGCTGGTGCTTCTCAAGTGGTCCCATATAAATTTGATTAAAGTTGGTTGTATAATTTTTTTTATATTTATTTAGTATATTCTATGTTCAACATTAAGTAGAATATTTAATTTGGAACTAAATATCCTACTTATCTTACTAATATTATAAAAGCGAAAGTTTGTGTGTTCTTTCTGTCTCCTTGAGCTTATTCCAAACTAAGTATGTACTGTGTATGTGTAATTTTTTCACGCACAAACGGCTGGACTATTATTTATGTGTGGGTTATACTATTTAATATCTCTGAGGGAGAACAAATAATGGCTAATTATTATAACTAATATAATTTAATTTACAAATCAATTAAAATATAAATATTTTATTCCAAATTAGGCATCTGAATGCACTTTTTGAATGCCAATTTAAGAACATTAAATTGTATTTAAGTGATCTCTTTGCATATATAATGTCACCGAAATATAACTTAAACATTTCGTAAAAATCAGCTTAAGTATAATTTCCTTTATTTTAATATTGAAAGTTGGATTACTGGGTAAAATAATTGAATTCTAATTACGGCCCTGTCTTTTTGTTATTTTTATGAGGTTTACTTGACGAGAATAAGGCTTGTTCTCAAAATGATCATAAACTATAAAAATAATATTTTGCGATTAAAATTTCTTTATGTTTGAATGCAAAACAAGTTTCAGCATCTTCGTATGATTATTTTACCAATACTGAGCTCTACGGACCTTTATATTTTTAGTTTACATGACCAAGATGACACAAAGTGTCATCATCTAGTGTCAAATATATTTAATTATATTTGAAAGCCGACGCAAAGAGATTTTTCTAGAACTATTTTAATAAATTAGGTGTAAAATTATTTACAAATGATATGTGATGCCATCCATAACATCAGAGAGTCTATCTCACAACACTTTATCCTTTTCTTTTTAATACTACGAAAATACACCGATTTGCGATTTTTTCAACACATAAGTGCACAGGACGAATGCTGACAGTATACTAACTAAAGCCACGTCCACTATGATGACGTCAGGACCTAGTTAGAATCACAGTGCACAGTTGCTTATGCCGTCTCCTCTTTGTATTTGCTTCATGGTTGCAATAAGTAAAGGCACGTGGTGACGCTGCAGGAGCTGGAGCGGCTGGCGCGCGTGCACGGCCTGCCGCTGGACGCCGACAGCGAGCCGCCCGCCGCGCCGCGCCCCGCACCCCACCCCGCGCCCGCACCCGCGCCCGACCTCACCGCGCCCGCCGACCTCGCCAACCTCGCCTCAGACCTCGCCGACCCACCGGTAACTGCTCCATTTACATTCGCTCTTACGCTTTGTCTTTTTACTATTTCAATACAATTAAACGTGAGCCATGCTGCAGCTATATTAGTAGTATAATTGTAGCAAGAATGGGTCGTCTGGACCGGGGAAAACCACACACTCACAAAATACCAACGTAAAATGGCAGCTTAACGCTGCTGTGTTTCGTATGGTGAATGTAGAGACCCGAAGACCCTTTTTACTGGAAAAGAAACATTCCATCTTAATCCTCACGGGTGATGACGCATCTACATTTTGATTCTTTATTAAGGATAGATGTAAATGTCTATGGGCCAAAACAACTACTTACCATCAGGTAGAATGTGTGCTCGTTTGTCACCCTATCCTATAAAAAAAACCATACCATGGAGTAACAATATAAAAATATCCACTACCCCATATCACCTTGTAAGTATCGTAAAAAACGATAGAGGAAAACAAATCAGGAGATGGACAACAACGTCTTCCTAATAATTAAGCCGTACACGAGATATCACCTTATGGCCATTCAATACTTAATGGCACGGGAGAATATAATATGTGTCTTAAAGGAAATAAATTTACTTACCGAGAAACTCGTACTCACAATCACTAATTAGCGTTAACTCTAAATATCGTGATATGTAATGTTGTATGTGTTACTTTGTTACAATGTCTATAATATTGTATAACCGAAAAACTCAAATAATTATAAAACTTAAAACTAATTTAATTGATAATGTAGTAAGAGCACAACACAGTACAACAGCAAGCGCGAATTAGCGCAGACTTTATTGAACTAATGACCCTATCGTTTTAAAGGTGAAGTGAAGTGACAATTTTTAGTCACACCACCGCCATCTGTGATAAATACAATAATGAATTCACATGTTCGGCACAATGACTTAAGGGCATCCACGACCTTTTTTTGCCACACACTAGAAAGTGAGATATAATATTTGACAGATATCATAGCGGGGAAGTTAGTTTGTTCGAAAAATGTAAAAGATATTGTTTCTTTCTGTACTATTGGTTATTTTATATTAATAACATTAAAAATTAATAAACCAAACCAAAGATATTCATAAAAGTAGGTAAATTTAAAAAAAAATTTCAAAATGTTCAAATAATTAAAGAGCAAACCACTGAGGCATTGTTTTGTGTATTAATATAATACTCTAGAAACTGATAAACTTTTATTAGAAACCAACTTCTTAATTAAATTACATTGTGTAACAAAAAATTCACCTCAGTGTCAACTAGCGACATCTGGTGAGCAGAAAATTATTAACCCTCATTACCTAATAACAACTAAAAATAAAAAACTGCGTTTGCCAACCCGCTTGCTAACCATGGCAACTATGGCGGAATCTCCTGATAAACCAATCTATTATGGAAGCCTATGTTAACGGTGGATTTTTATTTACTGTAATAAATCGATAGATGGCTGACTTGTATGTATTTAATTTCCTAGATTTGCGAGTTTTCCTTACAAAATTGTCGTTTAACAATAATCACAGCACATAACAGCCCGTTTCAATAAAGACTAGCCATCTACGCAGGACAGGATTACAGTGTAAAAATGAGTACGTAAGATCGGCAATCCAACATGACCGAAGAAAGATTAGGCGCAGGCCAAACGGCTTCGCGTTGTGCGTTCTTTCCAAGGCATGAAAGTGAAACTCTACCAAGTTCCTCACTTCGACCTGCTACTGACAATTTCCCAACCTGTACCGGATCTCGAGTGATCAGATAAAACCAATCGCGTTTACAACCACTAAAGCGACCAAACAATCAATTAAAAAATCTACATTATTGTTTGCACAAGCTTCTAATTTCTTGCAATAACAATGAAGAACTCAATGTTTTCATTTATTTATTTAATTTCGTACTCACAGCTTCCATTACAAGGTTACCTATTAAAGTAGGGCAGTAGTACTTACTAACTATAATAATAATAATTACTAACTTATTAACTACTGCATTACTTACATATAATAATTTAAAATGCAAATACGTATTTACTTAATATGTTTACATAAAAACCATTTTTGTAACTTAAAACATAAAGCGTCCGTTTGGAATTATGTAAATTATATATATTATCATATTATATTTGTTATTTTATACGGGGTAGCTATATTATGGTTGTAACTCAAATGAGTCGGCTCGACCGGGGAAGGACCATGCTCTCACAACATACCAGCTTGGAACACTAGAATAATGCAGTGTTTCGTGTGGTGTATGTATTAACCTTAGACCCTACTTACTGGAAACAAGACATTGCATCTTAATCCCCACGGGTGACAACACATCTGCATTTTGATTTCTTAATCGAGGATAGATGTACATGTCTATGGGCCACAGCATCCTCTTACCATGAGGTGGATTGTGTGCTCGTTTTTCATCCTTATTCTATAAAAAAATTATTATCTTGGTTTCTTATGTTCTCTATCTCATTTCGCTGTCTAAACCTTTTGTCCAAACTAAAACGAACTATTTTCTCGAAACTAATTATCCTTACCAAATTCTTCCACCATAAGAGAATTTTACTTTAAAACAATGTAATATTTTTAAACTGTGCGGTTATTTTGCAGGAGATGGTGTTACCGAAGAGTGAACCAGCGCCCGCGATGGAAGTGAGCGAAGCGCCAGACCTGCTGCGAGACATGCCGCACACTGACTGTATGCCACCGCTCGACGCACTTGGTAAGCCAACGTGCTCACTATTATCACTTGATTTACACTTTATTGTATAAAATATCTCAATAAAATGAATAGAATTGAATATTTTTTAATTCAGTACAAGTAACACATACATATACATTATATACACTAAACATATACCACTGCACTGGTACGGAAAAACCTCTATTCTGGAAAGAACCAGCAAGAAACTCAGCGAGCCTTTTTTTATTTTCAAAGTAAATTATACAATAAAGAACACAGATTGTACGAATTTCTTACAAATCTTATTTAAAAAACAGTTTGAAAGCGTCCACGTTACAATTTTAATACTAATCTTTTAAAACATGATCACAGAAGAAACGGCATTTAACATTCAAAAGAAAAATGTTTTTCCAAAAGTCGCTTTAATAAATTATGTCTAAATCGATTATACTCTCGTTTGCCTTATTTCATTTGCTATTTTGTTAAACACTTGAATGACCATCATTGGCCACATAACATGTTTTGAGTACAGACTAGTTTTTAATAGAGGCAAAATATTTTTTCTGGATATCTGTTACTATTTTTTTTAATGTTGTCCCTGTCACTTTAACTTAAAGTGACAGAGACAACACCAGACTTAACATTGAATGACGTTTGAGTATTTGGTCATTAGTTTAGTAAAAACATTAGGATACATTTTTACGAATATATGTGTTAATCTTTACAGACGGTCTCAAACTCGGCTCGTGTTCGCCGCTGGGGCGCGAGGGCCTGCCCGAAGGCCTGCCTGAGGGCCTGCCGGAGGGCCTGGGCGAAGGTCTGCCTGAAGGCCTGGGCGAAGGCCTGGCGCTGGGTTGCCTGACACCAGCTCTGTGCCTAGACTCCGCACCCGATATGTTCGACCACAAGGACGTCAAGGTAACCGCCGTCTTAATATGTTAAACTGCCTTTGTAAGTTGTAACTTTTATATTTTTTAGTGATGGTTGTAATATTCGTAATCGATTATATGTTACAGTCAAAATTTATTTCTGGTTAAAACCACTTTTAACTGCAAAAATCTGGCAAATGTAGTTTTGACGGAGGACGTTGGTCAAAACCACTTTTAACAAATCACTCAAGAGTGGTTGGGGACCTACAAACAAATTAAGATCACAACTTATTTCTGTTAGGAGATGTAACAGAGTTGCTGTTTCATGCTAGTATCCTGCTAGAGCGTGGTCCTTCCCCGGTCGAGCCGACCCATTCGTACCACAACCATAATATAGCTGCAGCGTGGCTCTACCACGTATAATAATGATGGAGATGAATCTAAATCTAAACTTGCGTAATATTGATTCAACAGATGCGGTTATCTCCATCGCCGGGGCTGCTGGGCAGCGAGGACAGCGATGCCGTTCTCAACCTGGCGGAAATCGAGGACCTAATGGACGACGACTCACACAATCCTGTCACACAAGGTATTTCAAACAGTTCGTAATGGCACTAGCGTCAATACTGGTGCCATGTTGGTCTCGGACTTATGCGTCTCGTGATTGTGTAGGACTTGTAACTTTGTTAAAGGTTTTATAAATTTGCACATCATATTATTTATTACGTAGATCATAGTAAGTTAAAAATAAAAACTTTAATATAATGGATTTCTGCAAAGTGACGTCTGATTTTATTAATTATAAACCTTTTTCTTTCATAGTTATTTTGTATTTATTGGTAAATAAATATTATTTTAAAAATATCTGTTTTGCTCACCCTGCCTAACTGGTTTGAATTGACAGCTACGATGTCACAATATGGCGTTGTAGGTACTTTGTAAAAATATACCAAACTGTACCTTAATTCAATGTAATAAAATTACTTTTTCAGGGGATCCGATGCTATGTTCGTCGCCCACATCACTGGGGCTGTGCACGTCCGAACAGTTGTTGCATGATGACTCACATTACACCTCTCACCATCACGGTAAATACAACCATTTTAATTAATTTATGCTTAATTGTTTTCATCCCGTGGGTGTCGTAAGAGGCGACAGAGGTAAATAAATCGGGAGATCATTGCATCTCCTGATTGCGTTACTATAAAGGTAAAGATCTACATTAAGTATTTCAAACAAAATACCAAAATTAACTCTCATATTCTCATATCGAAAGCAATGCTATGAATTAGTTATTGTATTTTCATGCAAAAATGGCATATCTCGAAAAACTTTACGTTTTCCGTGTTAATCCTAATCTTGTACCAGTACACCCTTGATGGCAAAGTTAACTTTTACCAGTTGCCAGACATGACTACGTCTATCCTCGATTAATAATCAAAATCCAGATGCGTTGTCATCCCTGAAAACTAAGATGGAATGCCTAAAAGGTAAGGAGGACTGTCTCTGTCTATGAAAAAGTGTCCTTCGAAATGCATTAAATTAGGGTGGCGCTACAATAGCAGTAGGGTGTAAATTATAAATTCATTATTTTAATAAAAAAATTAAATTAATAAATTTTTGATCAAAATTAGAGAACAAAAGTTCATAAAAAAAAAAATGATAAAAAAATGCACAAGTGTAAATTTTTGGATGAAAAAATTATTAGAATAAACTATAAAAACGTTTGAAAATATTTTTATTGGCATAAAATAAACAATAAGTCTTAAAATATATTTTTTTTAACTCCACAAACTTCAACCCATCTACAACAATAATCAACACCATTTATACGCTCTACCCACCATAAGTAAAAGGGTCCCAGGTTCTCTACACTCACCACAGCAGCATTAAGCTGCTATTTTACACCGGTATTCTGTGAGAGCGTGGTCTTTCTCTGGTCGAACCGACCCATTTGTGCTACAACATAATATAGCTTTAGTGTGGCTCTACCACGTACAAAAACTATGGTATTGCATTCGTTTGACGCTAACGTCTTACTGTGGAATAGAGGAGAGAGAGGCTCAAGGCTCATGGCCCATTGGGTTTTTATGGAAAGATGATGATGGGTTCATATTGGTTTATGATTCTATCTCCCTTAGTGTAACTTAGAATTTTTCAAAAATATACTGGGCGTTGCCATCCTTGCGACACAGTAGCGTAAAAACCGACCGTATACCAACGAGAAGTCTTTAAATTAAGCTATCGAAATTTCCGAACGATTACAATCCTAAACCTACCGTCCGAGCTTATTAGTGTTGGCTTATAGATAAAGATAATATACTGGAAACGTTGCCTCATAGATAAAGAATGTAATAGAAATGTTTGCCGTTTCCAGGGCTTAACACTTTACCCTGGCGGGAGATATTTTTTTATAGAATAAGGGTGAAACGAGCATACAGTCCCCCTGATGGTAAGTGGATGCTGTGGCCCATAGACATTTATAAATAAAATAAAATAAAAATAAAAAAGCCTTTAATTCCATGCATTACAATGATTTTTCAGCTTTGAAATATTATACAACAATTCAATTCAGATTCCCTAGATCAAATGATAACATAATTATTTATATAAAAAAATAAATAAAAATAATAAAAATAAAATACATGACATTTAGCTCAGAGTACTACTATTAACATAACACATTTAGATTTTTTTTAAAATTATTATTTAATTTTTGCTTATATGTCTATCTTTCATTATTATTATCATATAATTATTTATTTAAAATTTATAATCTTCTTATACAATTCAATGAACTTATGTAAAAAGGTTGTCATTAAATAAATAAATATTAAATATCAAATTAAATAAATCAATAGAATAATATTTAATGCTAAAATGATATTAATATTATAAATAGCATGGACCCCTCTCAGGTAAAGGCCTCCTCCAAGGATTTCCATTTTTCTCTATTTTTTGCTATTTGTAACCAGTTTGTTCCTGCGATCTTCTTTATGTCATCCTCCCATCTCATGTAGGGTCTCCCTGCTCGGCGTTTGCCTGGCGGGCCCTTCCATGTGGTTACATGTATGGTCCATCTGTTGTCCACGTATCGGGCTATATGACCGGCCCATCTGAATTTTAGTATTTGAGCGTAAGCCAGCGCGTCTATTGCTTTGGTATAGTTTCGTATTTTCGAGTGTCGTATTTTGTGTATTTTCTTTATGTTCAACATGCTACGTTCCATTCCTTTCTGGCATGAACTAATTTTGTTTTTAATTTTCTTCGTAATTTTCCACGTCTGGCAACCATACGTTAGAGAGGGCAGAATGCATGAGTCCATAGTTTTTGTTTTGAGCTTTATCGACATGTTGCTTTTAAATACTTCTTTTAGGCTCCAATATTTGTTCCACGCGATTTTTATTCTGCGCTGTATCTCCACTTCATTGCTGTTCGTTTTGAAACTTATTTGTTTTCCAAGATAGATATATTCATCCACGTAGTCCAGCGCTCTATTTTCTAACCTGATACACTTCTTGATGTTATTTGTCATAAGGTTCGTCTTTGACAGGTTCATCTCCAATCCCACTTGTCTGCTACTTATATTGAGGGTCTCTAACATGTATTGCAGGCCACAGCTAGTTTCTGATAATAACACTATATCGTCTGCGAATCTTAGATGGCTTAGGTATCTGCCATTAATGTTTAGACCACATTTATTCCAATCCAGTTTTCTTATGATGGTTTCCAGTACAGCTATAAAAAGATTTGGCGATAACGGGTCACCTTGCCTTACTCCTCTCTTAATAGGAAAGCTTTGGCCAATCGTTTCCAACTTTACTTTGCCAGTGCTTTTACTATAAATGTTTCTTATCACATCTATGTATTCCTTTTCTACTTTTTGAGCTTTTAAGGCTTCCCAGATACTCGTGTGGGATATTGTATCGAATGCTTTTTGATAGTCGACAAAGGCGATGTAGAGTGGTCTGTGTCTTTCCTGGTACTTTTCAATAACTAGTTCTAGGGCGTGTATGTGATCTATTGTAGAGAATCCTTTGCGAAAGCCTGCCTGTTCTACAGGTTGCCATGTGTTTAACGGTTCGCTTATTCTCTTATTAATGATCGAAGAAAATAATTTATATAGAGTCGGTAAAAGGCTAATAGGTCTGTAGTTGCCAATATCATGGGAGGAATCTCCCATGATATAGACATTTATATTTATCCTCAAATAAGTATCAAAATTGAATTCCTCCAGAAGCTCTTTAATTCCGTCCTCCATGGTGGCATTACACCGGAGGCGTGGAGCAGAAGTGCGGTGGTTTTGTTTTTCAAGAAAGGTGACAACACTCTCTTGAAGAACTACAGACCGATTTCCCTTCTGAGCCGCGTCTACGTGCTGTTTTCGAGAGTCATTACGAATCGTCTCGCGCGCAGACTTGACGACTTCCAGCCTCCCGAACAAGCCGGTTTCCGAAAGGGCTTTAGTACCATAGACCACATACATAGACACACCCTTCGGCAAATTGTACAGAAGTCCGAAGAGTACAATTTGCCACTATGTCTAGCGTATGTGGACTATGAGAAAGCCTTTGATTCCGTCGAAATATGGGCGGTGCTGCAGTCCCTTCAGCGGTGCCAAGTTGACTGTCGGTATATCGAAGTGCTGAAGTGTTTGTACAGTAGAGCTACGATGGCTATCCGAGTACAGAATCAGAGTACGAAACCTATCCAATTGCAGAGAGTTGTAAGATATAGTAATTGTAGTTGTAAGTCTTTATGGCAGAATCGCTGGAGGACCTAAGCACTATGCTCAATGACCTCAATAGTGTCTCCCAACGAATAGGTCTTAAGATGAACATGGACAAAACAAAGATCATGTTCAATGTCCATGTCACACCTATGCCGGTAGTTGTTGGGAGCACTAAGCTCGAAGTTGTTGACGAGTATGTTTACCTGGGACAATTAGTCCGACTAGGTAAGTTCAACTTCGACCGAGAGGTCAATCGACGGATTCAACTCGGCTGGGCAGCGTTCGCTACGACACATCTTCTCGTCAGACATACTTCAAAACCTTAAAACGAAATTGTATAATCAGTGCTTGTTGCCAGTGATGACTTACGGATCTGAGACGTGGTCCTTCCCTGCTGGCTGTATGAGGAAGCTTAAGGTCATTAAGTGAGCTATGGAGAGGGCTATGCTCAGGGTTTCTCTGCGTGATAAACTTAGAAATGAGTATATCCGCAGTAGAACCAGAGTAACCGACATAGCCCAACGGAGTAGTAAGCTGAAGTGGCAGTTGGCTGGCCATATAGCTCGAAGAACCGACAACCGATGGGAAAGAAAGGTTCTTGAGTGGCAGCCTCGTACCGGTAGGCGAAGTGTAGCGACCCCCCACGAGATAGAGTGACGACCTGGTAAGACATGAAGGAAGTCGATGGATGTAGGTGGCTCAGGACCGTGCTTTGTGGCATTCCTTGGGGGAGGCCTATGTTCAGCAGTCGACTTATGAAAGGCTGTAATGATGAAGAATGAAAATATAAATGAGTTGTCAAGCCTGAGGACTAGAATGGAACATCTCGTTTCCAGTAAAAAGTGTCTCCAGTTCTCTATACTCACCATATGAAACACAGGAGCATTAAGCTGATGTTTTATGCTGGTATTGTGTGAAGTCTTCGAGCAAGGCGGGCTATTCGTGTTACAAGCACAATATAGGTTTACTTAAAGTGAAATTGAATATAATTGTTGCAGGGTCGACGCTACTAAGCGAGGGCCTGGGGCTGGGCGCGTCGCTGTCGCTGGGCGACAGCTGCCTGCCCGGCCTGCTGCTGGCCGCGCCGCACCACCACCACCACGCGCCACACTCGCCGCGCTCGCACTCCCGCCCATCCTGCTTCGACATGGACCTCGGAGCCTAACCACCACCACCAAAACCTACTCATCCTTCGATATTCACCTCATCACCAACCTATCAATAACTACCTAAATCATAACGATAATTCAAACCATGAACGATGCCTAATGCGACTTCTAGTTTTAATAATCCAGCTTTCTGAAATTATGTGTTTTCAAGTCGATAGTACACATTTTTGCTTTTCATTCTCAATGACCCAATTTGAATGAACGTGTAATGAATCGTCTAAATTGTTCGTTCATAATCTGTACACATAGCTCATCGTTCAATATTGAACGAAAGATGACCATTGTAAAAACAATAAATAGCATTATTTCGTTCATTCGTTGTCTTGACTTATTGCTCCTATATTGTTTAATCTTTTAATTTTTTTACAAAATATTTCCCTAAGCTGTGACTTTATTGAACAAAAAAATTCATCAAATGTTTGACGATCGACCTGAATGAACTTTTATTATAAATCAATCACTAAAAGTAAACCGTTTAATATAACTTATTAATTTTAAACGAATTGACGTTTATTGTAAATAGAAAATTTTCTAGTGTCTCTTAAACTGCATTTAATCCACACAAAGTTAATACTAAGGTTCTATTGCTGACAGCAAAGATGGCGCTATAGTAGAACTTAAAATAATTTTGTATCACTATGACAATTAGGTAAATACCCAAAAAATGTTCTCCGACGTCTATATTTAAAAGGTAGATAATTATAACTAAGCCCCCAAAAACATCAATAGGCATCTTTCATGGTTACTTAAAATTTTATTTTGGATATTCAACTTATATGAACAATAAGGGCGATTTTCGCCTAAACCTTTGACTTGTTTTTTGTCATGACCAAAAATCTTAGCAGCAAATGCGGTTAGAGTTAATTCAAAAACGATATAATAAACTAATTGTTTGTCCTACCAGTTTTTATAAATATTATTTGCAGTGAGCGATTCACTATTGTTGGTGGTGTGAACATTTTAAGCCATAATATAAGTTCCTTTACAAATGTCTGATCATCGAAATCGTTGATCGTGATAATGTTACCCATTAACCTTTTTTTTTAAATTAAATCTTTAGGTAGCAATAACTGTGGTTGTCACTTGTCACTATGACTGAATGTCGAATATTTTTTTTTAATTAGTATGCGGTAAAAAACAAAATTTTGTTTTTAAATAGCTTGTTAAGAGCACGTACAGATCGGCATTCGTTTTCGAGATTTGAACGTGTGTAGAGTTTTGGCGGAAACTTAACAGCCGGCGGTGTGCTGCCCCTGTTTTATCGTTTGAACAATAATTTGAAGTGGATTTTGATATGTTAAAAAGGTGTGATTTTGTGTATTAAATGTCTGCGTATGTTACTAGTGAAAACGATATAACAAGTGCCTAGATGGTGATGTAAATCTCAGAGTTTTTATCCATTTAGAAGCCTTGAGATTTAATCGTCATTAACTGTCCGTTAGGTTTAGCTTTCGTCAAAATCTCCTACGAACTTCACAGTGTGACGCAATAACATATTGTGATGAGTTTTGGAACAAAATACATTTCATACTAGGCTGTATGGTATAAGACCTTTGCCTGACTTTATTGGCGAATTTTATAAAAACAAATTTGAACGTGTATACTATACATGGTGCTCCATTTTATATAATATTATAATCTTTAATATAATATATTTTCTTAAATAATAATATTCATAATTATGTAGTGTTAAAATATTTATACATACAACTGGGTATTTTATTAGTAGGACCACGATATTAAAATAATTTTATATACAAATGTGATACGAAATATTTTTAGATGATATTTATCGAGAATTACGAATTCTATTTTTTTAAAATATGAATAAAGTTAGGTTTATGTGCCATTCTCGTTGAGAATTTCGCGCTAAATCGTAATTTTTCTTTATAAGTGTAAATAAATTAATAGGATTGTTGATTTTTGACACTGGTTTATGACGTCACATATTATAATATATAAGTATATTTAACAGTTTAAGTGTTGAATTTAGAATCGCTGCCAAAAAGATTGTAGGAGGAAGTAGTAATTTGTTTCAGTTTTAGTTTGTTCAATCTTTGTTATTTGATATTATGTACATACCGCTTCAAATTTATTAATACGTAATTTTCATAAGGTATTATTTATTATGTTATTATTGCATCATTTTGATTGCTTATGTTTATTAGGCAGCTATTGCTGGAAGAATTTTTCTTCGCGTATCACAACCGTTTGGTGGTTGGTAGAACCCCGAATGTAAAATGTAAACGGAGCCCCAAATTATGATTAAATCTTAGAGGACGCAACAATAATTGTTTTAAACAAATATTAAATGACTTAAACTGTTATCGTCTTAACGCTATTCTCGACACAGCTTGTTTCTTGTGAGAAAGAGTTATGAATGGAAAGGTGAGGTAGGCAGGGGTTCTTAAGCTAATCATCACACGGCTATAATATTAAGTTTATATAATATAATTTATTATTGTGAAATTAGTGTGTACACTTTACAAACATTATTAATTTATTGGACAGTTGACACCATCATTAAATGGTTATATATTTCGATTGGGTACTTGTACTACAGTCAACTGTAGGAAACTAAAACGTAGTTTGCCCGTATTTCTATAGAAAATTTTGTTTTGACAGTCTGTAATAGCATTTCAATTGACACGAGTGTCAACTACCCTCGTTTTGTTTTCAATTTATTTAACTATCTGTTTTTGGTATTATTATTATTATTTTATAATTGTGACTAGCTCGTGAGCTGTGTACTATAATCGCTCGAATTATATTTGTGACTAATTTAAATCCTGTGTGTAATATGTATCGTGTATTTAATGCGCGTGATATTGCATCTTGAAACATAAGATTCGCGAATTATCTCGCATTAAAGTTTATCTCAATTTGAATAATTTTAATTAATTTTGTAATAGCGAGATATGTATTACCAATTTTTGCTTCAATATATTATGATCGCGTTATGAGATGTCTATATTTCATAGCATTAGATTATACTCACACGAGTGTTGCGCTTGAATACTTGAAATATTTAGAATTTATTTAAAGAATTTCAAGAATTTAAGACAGCTAATGATAACACGCGTGTGAAACTGCTTCAATATTTCGTACACCTTTATATTATATATAGAATTTTTTTATTAATTTATTTACATCGATTTATATATCGTTGCAATGATACTTAGTTGTACAATTATATGTATTTCTGCGATATCGCTACGTTTTTGTTTGATGTCAATTCTTAAGAGCAGGGTTGTTCACAGCAGAGATATTTATGAGCCAATACAAGTTATTGTATAAACTGTGAGGCCAAGATACTAAGTATTATTAGTGTTAAATTGTAATAAAAATTAATAAAAATTAATGCAGGTTATTATTCTTTAAATTATTTATTTAGTTTGTTTCTTTATATTATTAATAATATATTGCTATCATTTTTATCATTTTTATACTTTTAATAGTTTTCTTTAAATTTCCTTTTTACAATTTTTTCAAAGTAGATGACAAAATTACTAAGTTGCACATTTTTAGAAATGAACTCTCCATGAAAGAAATATAAGTGCATACGCTTTTTATAGAATTGTGATTTTAATTAAGAAATCTATAGAAATGATTGTATCTCGAGCTGTATGAATTAGACCGTATGATGCGGGCCGTGAGTTGGACAGCCCTGCCTTACAGAATACTTACAAGCAACGTTTACGTTGCGTGCTTGATGAATTCTCTCCGACTCTGACGGAGAATTGGTGCCTTAAATTATAAGACGTAAGTTTTAATATCGTTTCAAACGAGTCTTAAACTATATTTAATGTGTTATTAATTCGTTAGGGCAATGTTTTTAAAGCTGTGAGGTGTGTTGTTTTGCTTTTGCTTCCGAAGCAAGCGAAGCACGAACACAAACTTGTTTCACTGTGTGAATGTTATTTAATATTGTATGAGATTACGAGAAAAAAAGTTGAAGTACAAAAGAAAATAATGGACGAATATAACTGGTCTTTTATTTTTGTATCCCTATTAATTTATAAGTTTTTGCAGTGAAAACTACTTTAGGCACGTTGGCCACTTTTGGGATAGGAAAAAAGCACAAATCTCCCATGACCGTCACACTCGGATACATAGTTATTTTTCAAAGAGTAGCTAAATTTTATATTTAATTTCAAATATATAAATAATGATATAACTTTATTGCAATTTTTGAAAATACGAGTAAATAACGACGACTCATTCTGAATTTATAAGATAAAAAGGACAGAATGTTTGTAATTTTTTTATTAATTTTTGTTCACCAATCGCCTATATTACGAGTACTTATTCTGAACCTTCTCTGCAAATTTGGCTATATATTGCAAAATGATTATGTATACAGATATACATATATATAATAGCGTGTGTTTGTGTGTGTGTGTGTGTGTGTGTGTGTGTGTGTGTGTGTGAAACACATTCGAAAGAGTCGCTCGGTTGACAAAAACGTGAATTGAATCGCACACAGAAGTGCGCGCGTGCGAGTAGTTGTTGCCCATAAATCACATTTGATATAATCTATACATATAATAAAACTGTAAATAGCAGATGTCTGTACATTTTATATTTTTGTAATAAAAGTGATTGAGGGGTACTAAAAATAAGTAATTAAATACATTTCTACCATTTTTAGAATTTTCTGTCTGTCTGTCTGTCTGTCTGTCTGTTTGTTTGTTAACGTATCACGTATAAAGTACTAATTTATATCATAAGAATTGTTAAGGAAATTATAAAGTGTATCTTCGGGTTACATTTAGTCCTTATTTCATTAAAATCAGTTCATTCTATCAAAAGTTATGATAAATATTCTGAAGTATGGGTAGGGAAGTATAGGTACGAATTTGCTCAACGGTGGCTTTATTTGAGTCATCAAGTGCATTTTAAACTAATATCATATCATAAATCATAGTTAAATTATGTAAAATAATGATATAATTATGTATATCTAAAACGCAGTAAACAAAAGTATTAAAGAACG